ATGGATGGATGAATGGATGGATGGATAGAAGTAAGATGGGATTAGTGGATGGATGGAATATGATAATCAGATACATAAATGTGATAGGAACGTTGAATGGGAAAGTGGATGGAATGATGTACAGAAAGGGATGGATGGATGAATAAAGGAATGGAATAAAATGGGTGGGATGAATCACATAATTCAAACCAATGGCTCAGCAAATCAAACCATGTCCCATACCTTGCCTTTGGTCCCCAATTAGTTTCAGGATTAGGTTGGAACCTCAGAAGCCTCTGTTTACTTGATGAGGGATTAGCACCACTCTGTGTCTCAAAAGATGCTTCCACTTCAGGTTCTTTATCTAAGATAATGGTGCCTGGACTTTCACTGGATTTACGTTTAACTGGATAGAGCTTAACCCAACACCTCATGATATCCCAAACAACTAAAACAAACATAACTATAATGAAAACCCAAGAATTTCAATAACAGAAGTGGGTATGCAATCCATGACGTTTTCTGGGTTTTAATCTATGCTCAGGTAACAGTCTTTGAACATAATTTTCTGCTCYAAATGCTGATCAAAACCTGACCACCATTAGCTGTCAGTAAGGAATAATTCTATCTATTCAAAACTTTCAAYTAAGTTATTGAACATTCTGTACAGCATAAGAAATGAATGTTCTATCTCCCAAACTAGCCCTAAAGCTTAGGATATTTTACCTGAATTTGGAGCATTTGTCTTGATGGCTGTACCACAAGCATGTGTACCAGATACTTGGTATCCAAGGCCTAAGAGGGCAGACCTGAATTGAACGATAGATGGGGTGTTGCAGTGAAGTATATTGGAGAGATGGTTTAAGGCATAGTATAGAGGTGCTTCTGGTAGTTCTTCCTCAACCATGGTTAGCACACCTGGTGGAAGTAAAAGTTGGGTTTATGTACATGTATGTCATGAGCAGAAAGAGTGTTGAGAGCTACAGTTATGTGCCTTGGTATAAAAAGGAAAGGAAAGGAAAGGAAAGGGAGAAAAACAAAGGAAAAGGAAGGGTGGAAAGGAAAAAGAATGGGTGAGTACAGTTTTATACCCATTCATTATGAATGCAATCTAAACAATTATTTGCCAAAATCAAAGTCCAATTCTGTGACTTGGACAAATCAAATTTTCCATGGTCCATGTTATAAGTAATTTTCAAGTGATATAATAACCATTATATAAAGTAATCTCTAAGTATCTACTGGACTGGCAGCTATTTTAAGAAGTTCTCACCAATAATTCTTTGTGATGTTTTATAACTGTCTTGGTTAGATTTGACCATTTCTCTTAATGATTTGACAAAGTCTACATCATGCATGGGTTCTGTCCATATTGGTCCTCCAACATGGAACTTAGAACCACATTGGTCACAATTCATTCCAACAGTAGGACCAATGGCAGGAGGGTATTTCTTACTTGAACCTTCCTCTATTCGACGACCAACTATGATAGAATGAAATGTATTTAATAAGGGTTATGTAACAAAGTACATGGAGTGTGATGGTATGAGTGCGATGGCTTGTGTTTGTTATGTTAGTTCGAATCCAAAGAAACCTGTCGTTCAGATGTTAGGAGCACACCGTTGTTGCTCCAGATGATGATAATTCTAGTAATCYCAATCACTCTGGGGAGAGATAATTTGTGTGGAATGGTTGCCCTGGAGAAGAGATATGCAGAATGCTACCATGTGCAGAAAATGGCCTAACACTTCTCCTAGAATTTTCCTGGGGGATTTAAACCACATGGAAGTGTTTTAATGGTGCTGGTGCTTGTACATATTTGCCCCAGACTTAATTAAGAATAATGCTGTAAAAATGTGTTGACAGGAAAGGATAGAAAGGGGAAGATAATGCAGTACCTAGCTGGAAATGGTAGCTCCCGCAGCCTACGCAATGATAAACTAGTGACTGTTTACTTGGAGATCTTTTGACTTCTGATGGACTAGTGAAGACTTGAACAAATATGCGCACATAAAAATCCACACTGATACAAAGGAGTGGCACAATGTATCGCTTGTAACGATTTGCATGAGATTCTAGTGATGACAAGAGAATCCTCAGAGCCTGTTGGAATAATGAAAATGTCAACTCTTTTATCTTATTCCATTATTTGGTAAGCTTTTATGACAACTTCTACTGACATATTCATAATTAATGTCTAACTCCATTATTTCTAAGAGTATCTGACGTACCATTTCATGACAGAATTTTGCTTTTAGTGACATGCTTCCATATTTCCCATAACATGCATCGCTATGGTTACCACACAGTACACCCATATCAGTACAGGTTACCATTAGCAACCCTCCATCAGTGACTGCCTGAACAGCTCCATCCAAAAACGGTGCGGCTGATCCATAGGGGTCGATATCCACAATAGTGAACCTCTTAGTAAGTGGATATCGATGTTGGTACATTACAATACTGAGGGAAAATTATTGGTTATGAGAAATAAATACACTACATTATATTACCCTTGATTCCCAGATATGTATRCTGTCCTAACAAGAGTTCATTATTTAGTGCAAGCACTTATCTTGATCTAGTTCAGAATGAGAAATATGCTAGTTTTTCAGCCAGCGGCACCCTTCTAACTTGTTGGCACCAATTAGTATCCCTTGGTAAAAGAAGCACTGAGAAGTTATGTTTTGCTTGACCTCCAGGTACCTCTAGTCTGTCAGTACACTAACCATTATAATGTCAGCCTAGCATATTTTACAATAGTGTGGTGCTTAATAAGTGGGCTTGCCCTAGCTTTATTAAATGGACTGGCTCGGAAATCTCCTTCCCACATATTTACTGTAAAATGAATCTCTATTCAGTGGACACTTTATTCAGCAGACATCAGGCAAAGTCCTCAAGGTATCCAGATTATATYCATGATAGCTGCCTGTGGTTGTTTAATTACAAATTTCAAATACTCACGATGCATCTTGGTGGCTTGGAGTTACAATATGGCCGACCTTGTTATGATTGATGTTTTTCTGTATCAGATGGTAAGCATCCTTGCTGATGTCGTTGGCAACAATGTGTTGAATACCAGGCACTTCTAGCGCATAGCGGACAGAACGTAGACCAGTAGCTGACAGTCCTTCAAATAATGATACCTCTGCTTCTACAATAGACATATATTTCCAGTGGAGCAAGATAAAGAGATAAAGAGTAGAGCATGAGAATAAAAGGAAAAAGACATAGCCACCATGTTGGATGATACAATAAGAGAACTATGGGAAAAATGTCCTCCAACATGGCGCCTATGACGTCAAACATACTCTGATCTGTCTGTCTGTCTGTCCAAATTTTATTATCTCCCAACTAAAAATTTTATTCGAAGGAGATTTTAAAGTCTACTCAAAAGATTAAGGCTTACTATATTTTATTTAATAATCTTGGGTTTATTCATTTAAGCTTACTAGTACTCACTGGTTCTCGTGTCTTGTACATTTTCAGTCTTTTCTTTATCAACCTTCTGCTCATCAGCAGTGACTTCTGGTTCACGGCATTTCCCTTCGACTTTTGCATCCCATGGACATCTTTTCCTTTTCCATTGATCCAGTTTATCAACATACACTTTCAATGTCGCACTGCTAAGATCTCTGTTGAACTCTTGCACTGGATTGTAGAACACTTCTTTGACCTGGCTTTTCGAGCAAGGACAGAGGATTTCTGCTTTCCCTTCGCAAAACGAACTAAATTTCGTCGTGTTAGAGCCTTCTAGAGAAGTACTAGAGTTAGTTTTATCTTCTCCCATGTTTAACATTGAGATCGCCAACTTTTCGCCGATGATCTTTGCACGTTGCTTCTTCGTCTCGCCATAAACACTAAGGAAGCCCAAAAACAAAGAACGAATGCAATCAAAAGTGTTCATGGGGGAGGGGAGGGTGGCGAATGGTAAAGGAAAGTACTGTCCTACTAAAATATCCTCTGTTCTATTTCTTGAATAAGGTACCTTGGATTCTCATTAATGTTTCCTAAGGCAAAATATATTACTTTCAAGATGCAAATTGTCTTATTTTTCGGGTTAATTAACAAAGATAGATGGGGCCACTGTGTTTTACAGGCAACCCAAAAAGCTTCTAACTTTTTTTTCAACTAGAACACGCTTTTTTTGTTCATCAAGCTATTAGTTAAGCTATYATCTTGAAAAAGATAATACCTGKTGAAATAATTTATTTTTACGGGAAAATCAGTATCAAGACGAATTACACGTGGGCTCCCTGTGTCACATTCGAAGCCGTTCTTTGGGTTGCCTAAGCACGCTTGCGGACAGGCATCAGACAACAGAAAAAACCGCTAAAATCCAAGCTTTATATTATATCAGATCTCTGGTCTTTTATTTAGCCATTTTAAAGTGCTGTAGAAAAAGGTTTATTGTTTTTTAATGAGTTTTTTATGAGAACTTTTTCTCAAGCWTCACAATATTTTCGAATCGAGCTTGTGACCCCGCGTTACTTTCGTATTTTGATAACGAAACGGGTATCTTGTTCGACATGGAGGTAGTTAAAGAAGTACATAACGATATCCCAAAGTCCTCTCAAGATGACAGGGTCTATCGTGGGTTGTTATTGCAAAACGATATGAAAGTTCTTTTGATCAGTGACAAGACAACAGAGAAAGGAGCAGCTGCTATGGATGTTCACATAGGTAATTATGAGATTTTAAAAATTTCACTCTTCGATTCCTATGCTTCAAAGGGCAGATAGGAATGTTCTATGTAAACTATAAGTCTTTTTATTTACCTAAGTTATCTGTGTTTATTTTCAATGTGTGAGATATCTATATTAATAGAGTGAATTAGATCTTGCTGTGGTGCAGTGAACCTCAAAGACAAACCATCTGTATCTAGCTCTATAAGCTTATATGTACTCATAAATATTTCTTATATGTGGTTTTAAAGAAATTGTTTTAAAAATATTCTAATAAGTTTATGATATAGATAGTATATTTAATTTCAGATCAATAAATGAGTTTTTGTCAGGAGAGTTAATCTGATTGGTTGAACCGTTGCTATGCAACCAAAGACACCTGTTCTGACTCATTTTTCCTCCTTTTTTTCACATTCTAAAATTTCAAGTTGACAGTTTCACAAGATGAAGCACTTGTTTATGACTGCTGACAGAAGGAAAACATGAATGAAAGGAGAAAGTTGTAGTTTTTCTTTCTGGCTGACAGCATATGGTGGTAGATAATGGGATTCAAAGACCTCTTTATCAATGGTAGATTAAAACCCACCAATTTGATAATGACAGACAGACATGTTATTTGGAGTATTGTTGAGATATTGAACCACTCTCCCTCCCTCCAAATAGAGACATCTCCCACCCTTATACCTCCTTGCAGTCTTGTGAGAAATTCAGAAATTTTTTTTGGTGTATAATRCATCTCTCATCTCTTTGCATTATTTTGCTTACTTAGGAAGCATGTGTGATCCAAATGACCTTCCAGGCTTGGCACACTTTTGTGAACACATGCTCTTCTTGGGTACAGAGAAGGTAGGTTGTAATAATTATCGACRTCATTCTGGATGGCAAACTTGATACATTCACTTGAGGTCTCATTTGTGGACCAGCCAAATATATTAAGGGGGGCTTAACTGAATTTTGCTTGACTTGTAAGTAACAGATTATTTTACTGTAAATCCATTACTTTGATCAAATAAAACTATATATGGCTGGGGGGGAGGATTTGTGTCAAATACCAAGTGGCAGATATGGAACCCTAAAAGTTAGGATGGGTGTGTCTGCTCTTTACCAATCTGACCCCACCCCCACCCCCAGAAATTAGTATATTTTGTTATAAATGTGCAAGACTATACTGTTTTTAATAATTTATGATCATTTTCACAGTACCCTAAAGAAAATGCTTACACACAGGTAACTTAAATATATATATATATATCTATAGCTATCAAAACGTCACTATTAATTTTTACCCCTGGCCTCTCATGAATGTATCTGCAGTTGTATGTGTCAAAAGATTACCRCTTGCCTCTCATGGACGTATGTATGTGTCAACATATTTTTGCACATATAAGGACATATAAATCTTTGGTACTCKTAATATCTATGATCCCTGTCAAATTGTTGGTGATGCAAGAATGAAAAACTCGGAATGAACTGCTACTTGAAATAATATATTGCTGATCTTAGTATTAAGCAGCTTATTTCCCTTTTCACGATCTTATAAGAAAAATCCAAGATGGCTGCCAGAATACCTGGAGTGAGTACAGTGTACCTTCTCTGGGAGGGAAGGGGTTATGTTCAGTTATTGTTGTTTAATATTGTTTTGTTTCCATGACTGACAGTTTTTAACAGAGCAAGGAGGGTCATCTAATGCATTTACTTCAGGGGAACATACAAATTACTTCTTTGATGTCAAATATGAAAGCCTTCCTAAGGCATTAGACCTGTAAGTACTGAAAAAAATTTAATCCAATAGCCAATCTTAAGATGGAATTATCATCAAATGTTCATATTAAGAGGAAATGTACTATGATAA